AGCTCCCCCCACCCATCTTCCCCCCATCTATGCTCTTTTGGCCCCCTGCTGCCCTGTGGTCTGCCACCCCAGCCGACCTTTGCTGTCTTCTTGTTCCTACTGCTGATGAGTTCCCAGCCTGGCCCTTCATGAGGCAGCTGCTGGCCATGTGAGGCTTTCTTCCCCAGGTTGTGCATGGCGGTTTCCTTCCAAGACCTGGGGAAGATGGCCTTATATGGCCAGGAGCTGCCTCATGAAGGGCCAGGCTGGGCACGCCTTGTCAGCAGTGGAAGCAAGAAGACAGCAAAGATCAGCTGGGGCAGTGGAGCTCTGGGGCTGGGCTTCACCCAAAGGGGTTTTTCGACGTGCCATGGCTCTGGGCTACAAAAAGCACAGCACGAAGCCCAGCCCAGCCCAGCAGCCAGGCCCAGCACACCTCAGCAGCAGCAGGAGCAAGAAGATGGCAAAGGTCAGCTGGAGTGGAGGAGCGCAGCAGGAGCCTTCAAGTGCAGGGTGACGAGGGTGACTCTAGCTGAGACTGGGCTGGGGTAGCTTCCCAGGGCATGGCAAGCAGCCTCAGAGCTGTGTGGTTCTGGGGCTGCTTGCTGCCCCACAAGGCAGGGTGCAGGGTGGCCAAAAGGGCAGAGAAGGGGAGGAGATAGGCAGGTGGGGGGAGTTGGAGATAGTCCCTTATCTAAATGAGGCTTGGGGCTGGGAGGGACAAAGCTTGGAATGGCTTGGATTGGGGTGTGCCCTCGGCTAATGACCAGCAGAATTCACTTAATGACTGCAATGGGGAGTGCTAGGATTGCAGTTGCTAAGTGACGCGGTCATGTGACATTTCACTTTACGACTGCATCACTTAGTGATGGAAATTCTGGTCCCAATTGTGGCCGTAAGTTCAGGACTACCTGTAGCATGCTATACCATGAAGAGCCAGTTTGGTGTAGTGGTTAAGGCACCAGGCTAAAAACTGGAGACTGTGAGTTCTAGTCCTGCCTTAGACACAAAGCCAGCTGGGTGACCTTGGGCCAGTCACTCTTTCCCAGCCCTAGGAAGCAGGTAACAGCAAACCATTTCTGAAAATCCTTGCCAAGAAAACTGCAGGGACCAGTCCAGGCAGTCACCAGGAGTCAAGACTGTCTCAAAGGCACTTAAAAACAAACAACCCCCCCCCCCTCAAAGCATGAAATAATCGATACAGGTAGTTTGGAGATACAAGTAGTCCCGTTTAAGAATGAGTTTAGTTCCAAGGTCTGTCCTTAAGTCGGAACAGTATTATTGTATAATACTGTATTACTGGTATTGTGTAATTAACTTGAACCACTGTGTATTTAACTCAAATCATTGTGTATTTAACTCAAATTTTGCTATAATAGGCTCTGTTCTTAACTATGGGTTTTCTATAAATTGGGCATTCTTAACCCAGGGACTACCTGGGTTAGTGGATATTAAAGAGAACGAAGTCTGAAAATCGTTTGTTTGTGAGCACATACAGGGTAAAAAGGAGTAACAGATTGGGGACAACTTTATGAATTGATTCACATATTGTGCAAAACGTTATCCGTTTGGTGCTTGTTTAGTAATGTATTATATGAATCCAGCCACTATGATGTATGAACCATGATTTGTGATTTGGTATGATATAAAAAAAGCCAACTATGGTTCATTCAGATCATGGCTTAATACAACTCCAGTTGATGAGAACTGTTTAACTTCAAATATGATCCTGACCCAGGTAAACACGATTCCAGAAATTTTGAAATTATTGGATTAGAAACTAATTTTCTACACAATCCATAAGTAGACCACACAAATTGTCACAGCATCTTTTGATTTTATCAAAGCAAATAGATGGAAATATACAAAAAAAGTAAAAACTGAATCTCATAGTTGAGGTTAGAATTAAAGTTTAAATAATAAATTAGATTTTGAGGCTATTAAAAGGTATGTTATATCAGGTTTTCCAATGTTAGGTTTGTAATGCATGGCTGAAGTACATTTAATTCCTCTGAAAATCTTTACATATAATGTAGCAATTAGAAATATTATAAAATTTGCAAAAAATAAATGCAAGATGGAAAAAATTCTGTATTCATTTAAAAACAAATAACTACAGGAGCTTATTACAGCCTACTGAAAACTGAAGCACTGCAATATTGGTTCAGCCCTATTTTTTAAGGCTACTAAATCAAGGGCAAAAATCTGAATGACTAGTAGATGGCAGTAACAGGATACCAAAACCTCTTGTTGCTACCCTTTTTGTAGCTGTCTGGATTTTTGCAGCCCAGATTTAGTAGTCCTATTATATTTCCCAAGCTTTCCTAAATGCCAATGATTTTTTCAGAGACATTTTTATAAACCTGGCTAGAAGACCATTTATGGCCTGCAACACAGGCAATCCAATAGAAAGATCCCCTTACAAGCTACATCTCCTGGAAAATGGAGTATTACACATCTTTTTTTTTTTAATATTCACCTTCTGATGCTATCCATATGGAACAGATTAGGTGAAGAATAGTCACTGTATTTTAACAAATAAGGTGTTTGACCTTTGACTAGTATATGGGACTACAGAGTTAAAGGGTCCACATAACTCTGTTTCTTTGTATCTCTTTAACAGGCAAATTGAAAATGTTTATTCAAAGTACAGTATGAGGAAAGCAATCAATAAATGCATCCCAGTTTATTGTGCTTGGCATATGAATACTACTATCCTATTAACCAAAAGAAACAGAATGACTGATCTAAAAGATACAGCAATACAATATAACCTTTAAGATATGAATAGAGCCAGAACTTTTTGAAAGAACCAAAATAGCCTGAAAGTATAGCTTCCAAACAACTTTTTCCTTTCAGCACTGCAGAGATTTCAGCTTCTACAGTTATGGAGTTACCTCCTCTAATTACATCTGAGTGAGAAACTTGTGGCCCTCTAAATGTTGCTTAACTACAATCTCTGCATCCCTTACCATTGATCAAGTTGTGTAGTTCACTGCTACCTACATACTATCTGCAGTAGATAGTATATTTGCACTATACTATATGGAATAGAGTATATGCCTAGAAGCCAGCAGGATGACTTTGGGTCATTTCTCTCTCTCAGCCCAACCTACCTCACAGGGTTGTTGTTGTGGGGAAAAGAGGAGGCGGGAGCATTAGCTATGTACACTGTTTTGAGTTGACCAAAAATAAAGGTGGGATACAAATCAAATAAACTACTTTAAACCTTGATACAGTGTTCCTCCTAATAATTTTTCTTTCAATAACATGAAGTATTGGAGAACAGTTGGAGAGAAAGACATAATTATTAGTGAAGTAAAAAAAACAATGTGAGCACCTGTGCTTCTTATGTTTTAGCACCTTTTAGGTCCAATTTTTATTTTCGCTATCAAAGCATGGAGCTGCTAACTGAAGATAGATGACTAAGGATACAGTCTGTGAAATCTAACTACATCAGTTAGCATCAACAGGGTCACCCAGTTTACCCTAATCCGTTTAACTAGTGCAATCCTCTGGTTTCGAAAGAGTCTAATCCCCATGAGCACTTTTTCATTGAGGTTTGGAAGGGTTCAACAATGTTCAGTCTGCACAAGCTGAAGAATGTTTTTCTAAGGTAAATTCAGAGATGGCTGTAGTTTTAATATCCAATCTAAGTGGGCGTGATAGTTTAATAACTCATTTAAAAATAATATATGCTATAGACTATCTACAATTATATGTAAATAAAATCTGAAACTGGAAAAAAACACCTGCATTTTAAGTTAGGTGTCAGCTCCCTTACATGCTCTGTCTCAGAGTTTTGAGTACTAACTATATTTCCCTGAAAGATAACAAGATAGGATATGGTTACATGTTTGTTCTCTAGCCTTAGAATATTCTAATAGGGCTGGCAGATCTGGAGTGCAAAAGTACAGATAACTACTTGATGGGAGCCCAGATACTGTATATTATGGTCACCTTAAGGTTGCCTGTAATTTTGCAGCCCATATCTAGTAGAATCTTTGGAAGCTCTAATTCTAAAAGGACTTCTTTATATGCTTAACACAATATAACTGGATGTTACATTAAATTGTTTAATATTTAGAATATTAAACAGATTATATCATTAATAACCAAGATTTACTTCATTTAATATAACTCTCCTTACTGTGGTCATAGATTACCATGCTAGGCAGGTGAAGTACAAAAAATGAAACTTGAGCAAAAGTGAAACCAAACCCCCCAAAAGCTGAAACAACTTCGCTTCAGATAGGCTCAACCTTTCACAATATACATATACATATACACATACAGAGAGAGAGAGATAGAGAGAGAGAGATAGAGCGCGACCTGAGAGGGAAAACAATTTGTTCAAGAATACAGGTTTGATCCAAAGTACTTTATTACAAAGGAACTCTGAAGGCTTTTTAATCTCAATGCACATTTTGGGCAGGTCTTTATAATTTAAAACCACTGAGCTTAAAATTTACATTAAATCGTCTTCTGACAAATGACCCTGGAAACATCTGGCTATGTGGAACTCTAGAAACAGAGAGGAAGAACGGCAGAGAGTGCAGATCCAAGCATCCAAGCTTGACCAGGCTGCCCCAACCCTGTCAACAGTGCCAGGGAACTCCCTGACAGGAGAGGGGCGGGAAAACCCAAGCGGGTTCTGGGGTTGGGCCGCCAAACTCTTCCTTACCTAGGGCTGGGTGACCAAGCTGCGTTGCGGGGGG